CAGACATGTGTGTGTGAATGTGTAAAAATTTTTTCCATTTACACAAATCGAAATCACTTTTACTTTTTTTCTTTTGTTTTAGTAAAAGAATTGATTGGAGGTTTTTTTCATTTTTTTATTTTGGAAGAAAAGATCAACTGATAGATATATTTAACATGCAATTTATCCATCTGGATAGTTGATAAGTGAACATGTGTGTTAAATCGTGAGATCTAATTTTCACTTTTCGTTTATGTCCGATTGTCATTGCTATATATTGAAAAATTGTCTATTCAATAAAGTGTCATCAATTGATAACACTTTGTTTAGTTCAACGTTTGGTGATCATTTCATTGTTGTTGTTAACACATTTGTTGAACTTACCGACTGAAATTATTCTATAGATGTTTTGAACTCATTTCTGACCGATTTCATTGCCGTAGGCAAAGGAACGTCTGCTAATCGGGTTGGATATGTATATACATATACATATTACTTATTTTTATGAATGCTTGTTTGAGGACACGTAATGTCTTTTTTACTTCTTTTTTTTGTTTCTTCTTCATTTTGTGCGTGTTGTTCAATCGATTAAATGATGGTTGAATTCTAGTAGTCATTGATAAGCGTATTATTGCGCTTCATTAGAGCAAGCATGTATACATACATATATATATATATATTTTTTGTCAGCAGGTGATCTGTACCTGGATGTTTGGTGAATGAACAATGTTGAAATTAGAGGAAGATCGAGCGAACAAGATAAAAGCATATAGGTACAGCAGATGTGATATTCGGTTTAGATGAATAGACAATATGTTAATGGGTTTTCTTTTTATGTAATTTAAACAGAAAAAGAAGATGAAATTCTACTTCCGATCTGGTATTAACAGAAGGTGTTGATTTACGTGAAAGATTTTTCAATATTCATTGATTTTGTGTGTGAAAAAATTTTTTTATGATGTAGTTACGATGATAGTTTTAAACAAAAATAATCGATGCATGATAATCAGGGATAATATTTGAGATAGTGTAAAAAATTTGAATGAAATGTAAAAAAACAAGTACTTCTATAGAAAATTGAAAATAGTCTTACAAAATTATTTTTGTTATTAGAAGACGTCGAACGGTAATATTGAACTGTTTAACAATGATTTCAAAATGTTTGAGGAAACTTTTTTTAGTATCTGTAACGAAACTTGATATGTTCTTTCGAAATTTATATATTTGATAAAACATTGGAATCAATGATTCATATAAACATAATGATCGATAGAATTTTACTGTTCCACATGATGGATTAACATAGGGCTATATGTCTTGAAAAAAAAAAGAATTCACATATTGTAATGTCTCTAGAGTGATGTGGCTTCGTTAAACTATAATAGATGTAGTCTCATTGTTTGCTTTATTCCGACAGTGATCGATGATATTCAACTAATTTATAAATAATCTTATTTAAATTTTACTTGATTTTAATTGAGTTAATTTGTTAAGTATTCATTGAAATAAATTATGATTCATTTTTTTAATCTAGTTCTAATCTAAATATAATCGTATAACAAAAGAAAGACTTTTTTTTTTAAATATGATCATGTTGAAGTCTAAACATTGGAAATATTCAATCAAACTATTAATTAATGTTCACTAGATAACATCTAATCTGCCCATAATCGATAATTGTATAGTATATATGTACTTAAATAAAAGTAGTATTTGCATGAAAGATGATTTTTTTTTGACAAATGACTAATTCATCGAAAGTAAAATAATGAAGAAGACACGAGTCTGTTTATAGTTGACTTTTTTTCTTTTTCTTCTGTGTAATAAGACAAATAAAAAAAAAAACAATTAATAGAATTTGTTATAGAAAAACACATTCGATAATAATTATTTCAAGTAATTCAAAACGATGTTTAATATTGTTGATTGAATCATCATTTTTAATTTATTAAAAATAAACTTAGATTAAATTACAAACTGAAAGAAGTCATTAGAATTAATTGTAATAGTATAGCAGCAGGTTTTTGTCTGCAAGAAACTGACAAAGAAATCATTGACACAAAGTAAAGATGGTCTGACGGGAAACAAGCAAAAAAGAATAGTTTTCTAGAATCTTCTGTTTTTTAATTTTCCTGTAGGAAATAGCGCAAGAGTTTTGTTTGCATTTTTGAAAATCCTATTAAGTTCTATTTTACAGTCAAGATTTGTAGGAAATAGATTTATGCTTTATTATAAGATATACGAATTGATGAAAAATCATATAAAATTCTTTACAAAAAAAAAATGATGTATCATAATGAATAATAATGATGGAGCAAATGAGACACATCAAATCTGAAACTTAAACTTAATTTAAAACATTTTTGGCAACTAAGAATTTTGAAATTCAATAATTGAATTATTTAAATCAAATATTCAATTATCATTTTTTTTCTGTATTTTTGTTGCAATTTTGGTTTTGTTTTCAGTTCGATGTTATTAAGTTAAACTTTCTTGAGCAATTACATAATGTGTAATTATTGTTACCTGATATTTTTTTCCTATTTATGCCTTGATAAAGTCCATTGCATGTCAACGTCGAATAATATACTTCAAAGATTCTATAGATATAAAAATAGTTTTCATTTAAGGTCAAATATTTTTCAACTGAGTAAATATCTTTACTTTTTCTTTGAAATATTTTCTCTAGTTAAATATAGACATGATTTAGTTTCTATCATTTTTACAGTAAAATATTTTATTCTTGATAACAATTCAACTAACAATTAGGAAACGCCTTTATTGATGAATGGCGCTGGTTTGTTTTCAATTTTCTATAAAAAATTGACGTTATTCATACTCCGATACTCGAAATATTATTCTATTGAACAAGCACAAAAAATGTTGTTTCCTGTTTGATTTTTTTCTTCCATGTAATAAAATGTACTCAATAAATCAATTATTATAGAAAATTTTTCAGTTTTATAATTATATCAAGATAACTTTTCTAATGTATACTGTTTTATTTTAATATCTTCATCGACAAAGGTGACCTCTGAGAATATCTATCAAATCATGTTAAGACGCTTTCACCTATTCCGAAGCTATATATCATGATCTAGCAAGAATAAAAAGCCACTTTTGACTCAATAAAATCAAATATCATCATCTTTTCAAATTTTAAAAAAGAATTATGAATATCAAATGTCTTCACATAAAGAAACATTATTCGTTTTTTCCTGTTCAAAATCTTCTAGGAAAAAAAACCTTTATAATGACAATATAATCCAATACTTGAAACTCTTTTTTTTTTTTTATACATAAAAGATGAATGATATGTGATAGTTAACATAAAAATGAAAATTTATATTTCAACATATTATTTACTCTTATAAAGAACGATAAATTTAGAAAAAAAGAAGGACTAAAGAATAAAAATTTTGTTAATCACATAGAGTTTATACAGAAACGAAGACAATAATAAATTTTTTTTTTTTTTTTTTTTTTTATTTCACTAAACACCGAGATGTACAAAAATCTACATTATTGATGTTTTTGAAATCAATAACAAGTTTTTTTATAACACATTTGTGAACAACAATCCGCATTATTTGAACACCATGCTCCAGGACAATAACAACCAAAACCAACACCAATAAATGGACTTATTTTTGGATCACATTGAAAATGTGTCCAAACAGTTCCAGGTAATGGTGCTGCACTACCATGTTGATGAATTGAATGAAAACGACCATGTTTTTCAAGTTTTTTATGAAAAAATAATACAGTTGCATCAGTTGATGATGGAATACGAAAAATAATTATCATTAAAACAAATAATAATGACATGTTGGGTTTTTCCTTTCAAATAATTCAATAAGAAATAATCTTTATTTTAAATTAAGTTAACACCTTCAAATTGCAATTATAATGACTAGTATGACAATGATTTAGTTAAGACTCAACAGAAAAAAAAACCGAGTAGAAAAAAAAAAAAAACAGAAAAAAGAAAAAGAAAAAAGAAGACATTCCGAATAGAACACAATAAAAAAAAAAAGGAAATGAGACTGAATGCATGCCTATATGCATTAAGACTCAATGAATAGAACCTGAGATTCTATAGAATCAGTTTTATGACTTTATATATGTAGTTTATTTAGTCTATATGTTCAATACTGCATGTAATAAAAACCTAAGTCATATATATGTTTTTTCTTGTGTTTATATATATATATTCAAAACAAAAAATTTTAATCGAATCAAGTTTGTTGACTGTTTATTATCTTTGTATTTGACTACCAATATTAAATAAAGAAGTCGATTATTAGGATTCCTTTTTTTCTTATTTTTTTGCTTTCGTATTTGATTGTTCGACGAATCTAATTGTAAAAAGAAAAGAATCGATAGAGATGTCAAGGCAAGCAAAAAAAAGCAAAAAAAAAATAAAAAAGAAATAGGTTGCTGACATGTTCCCTGCCAAGTATGTTGTAGATTGTGTTGTATTGCAGCTACTTCTTACGTTCCGTTCGTTTATTTGCATGTAATCTTGACAAACGTCTTACATACTTTCTCCGATTACTATTCTTCAATTATTATATACAAGCGTCACAATAGTAAATGATGCTTACATCAGGATGGAGCAATACGAATAATATTCGTTTACCATTGATATTATCTAATACGGGTCAGTCAGTTTTTTTTTATTATATAGAAAAAGTTCTTGGTTTTGTTTTCGAAAAAGAATTAGTAATTGTCTTTTTTTTTTTCTTTTTGTTATTGATAATTATATAGTAGAGTTAAACGAATGAAATAATGATTCATTCGTGCGTAAAAATAAAAAGATCTTTTCTTCTTCTTTTTTTTTTTTATATCTGAAGCAAGTAAATAAGCTATTGATTTTTACATTGAATAAAAGAGAATTTAAGATAATAAGTAAAAGATTTCGATATAAAAAAAATATATATATATTTAATATTGTTTGTTTTACATTAAACTTCTAAAGTTTCGAATATGAATAATATAAAAGACGTTAATATGAGTATATGTTACTAGGTGATACATCTGAACGGCAAAAAAAACAACAAAAAGAACAATTATTACAAAATACACCACGTCGTCCAATATCAAATGATAGTACTCAATCAATGGATAATGCTTATTCTCTTGAACATTTATTTATAGCATTACGTCGTCGAATACGTCGTATAGTTCAAACATATAATATTAAAGCATTTTATGATGCATTAAAAATTTGTGCACGTATTTTTCAATCATATGCAAGTTATAATTTAAATACAATCGATGAATTTGCTCGTCGTCTTAGTAAAAATGCACGTGATAATAAAAAAGTTTTAACAATAATTGATCAATTTCGTCTTCAATTAGCTGAACTTCGTCATTGTCATTCAACATTTGAAGCTGAATTATTAGTTACAACATTAGCTATTGATTTTCATGAAGATGAATCCGAACATCAACATCAACAACAACAACAACCAACAGATTTACCATTATCAACAGGAAAATTTTCTCCACGAAGTCGTGTATCAAAATTTCGTGTTCGACATATACGACAAGCAACAGAACTTAAAACACAACTAAAACGAACAAATGAACAATTACAAGTCTTATTACTTGATGAATTTTATGCTAATGTATCAAATTTATGGGATGAAAGTGATAAATATATATCAACATCAATACCATTTCATGATCATCATATGACATATGTACTTCGTCTTATACCTGATATTGTGTTAAAATTTGAATATGCATTACAATTATGTACAAAATTATTTGATCTTGAAACAACAATGATTGAAAGTTATCCACAAACAAATCGTTATATTGATAATAATCATAATACTACTACTACTAATAATAATAATAATAATAATACAAACAATAATAATATTAATATAAAAACTTTCAATGACTCAACATCTGTTACAATGCTACCTATAACTCCTTATTTGGATAATAATCAACAGCAAGAACAAGAGGAAATACCTGTAGAAGATGATTATCAAAAAATGAAATCAAATAAAAATAATAAAAGACCATCAGCATTTTTTTCAGCTGATGTAACAAGTGCTTCATCTAATTCATCAAATATTAAATTATCACATCCAATAAAAAGTCCAATGTAACTAATTAAAAATCGAAATTAGAAAAAACAAAAGAAATAATAGTCTATTTTTTTTCTTATTATTTAGAATTTCAATGCATCGTGAAGAACCATTAGATATAATAAGTCAACATGATGATAATCCAATATTTCCTCCATTATTTACTTCATCTGAAAAATCTTTAGATTATAAAAATGATCAAAATAAACTTCAATTACTTATTGAACAACTTGAAAAACGTTTAATTGATGAAGAATTATATCGTAAACGTCTTCTTAATTGTGTTAAATTAACAACTAAAAAATCTGAACAATTAAATCATTTTCCAAAAAATAATATGTTAACATTTGTTATGTCTGATGAACCAGGGGTTGTTGAATATCAAAAAGGTCTTTGTTTAAGTGATTGTCAAATTCATAAAAGTGTTTCTGATGAATTAAATATTGCTATTAGAGAAATACAACATCGTATTGATTGGATTAATATGGTTCGACAACGAGCTCTTCAATGTCTTGGTGAATAGTATTATGTTATTGCAATTCAATGACATTTGACTATTATGTCTTTTTTCTTTTTTTTACCTTTCAATTATTAGACTTTATATGCAAAAAATAATAAATTTGTACAACAGAAAATATTACTTTGATAGATCATACATTGTTTTACAATGATATCGAACATGAGAATCTTTCAAAATGTTACAATCTGTTAGTGCAATACCTGCAGGATTAAAATATGAAACACAATGTAAAATCTATTTGTTATCACAGAATGATTTTTTGATTCTATCTCTCTTATGATACATTTCTTTCCTCTCCTTTTGTCTAATCCTTCAGAGATACAATGAGAAAGTAGTTAATATATCGTATCATACTATTATTGATATACAATCGATGAGAGGCGAAGGATGAGTGCACATATCTACCCAATATATTTTCACACTCGTGTTAAATCGTTTTTTTTTTTATAAAAATATTCTTAATAGAAGTGAAAGCGTATTGGACAGAAACTTGTATGGTATCTCTTCTAAGTATAGTACTCGTAACCATCTGTAAGTTCCACTTTAAAAAGCTAACGACTTATGAAGAAAGCAAATTTACAAAAAACTTTTTCTTGATCTTCTAGCTATTTATACTTCACTACCGATAGTGTAAGAGTTCAATTTTGCATTCGTTTATCAAAGTTTTTTTTTCAAGTATTCAGTTATTATAATGTCAACTGTTCAACTGCTGATGTACTCTGAAGTCCATAGAATTGGCTTCGGGTCCGAAAATTTTGAAGCTGACAGACTGCTCTAATGAGCTCTCTGAATCGATATCTACGTTAAACTGTAAGTATTTCCCATAATTTCAATTCAGTTTGTAGTATTATATATATAATCAAGATCTTCGTTGCACTCATCTATATCATTATCTGATGATATGTTATAGGTCAAAATTGTTTCGTTCTCTTGTTTTTATAAAATTTTTGTTCATATTAACTAAAACAAATTGAACAACTAAACATCAAGTTTTTCTTCTTGGAATGAAGCTGGTGATAATAGAGCTGAGAGTTTCACAAAACAATCGTTCACAAAAATAATATCATCAATAAGTTTATTTTATCTATCTGTGATCATCCTTTTCATATTACCACAGATTAATTTTTTTCTTCTTTCTTATGCATATCACTATATGGATATCATAATAAAAAAAAAACCCCATGTAGAACAATAGATAAATCAAAAGAATGTTGTTCGAAATTCTTTCGTCGTTTTTTGTCTGTTTGAAACTTATGTATACTTCTAGACAAATGAGATTAATGTCTTATTACAGTAGGTTTATTTTTTCTAGATTGATGAAACAAAGTAAAATTTTTACAATAGAAAATCTGCATTCATTCGAAAATCCTATGAAAATATTAGCTCAAAAAAGAATCTTTTGTTATAAGGCGATGAAATATGACATGATACAAAGTTAGAAAGAACATTTTAAAAAAATTTCTATTCTCCATAAATCGTTGTTGTTGTCAACTGAAACTTTCCCATAATTACAATTATGATTTAGAAGACAATTTATAAAAGTTTCTATCTTATATGTTTTTTACTTTTTTTTTCAAGAAAATTAAGAGTTAAGAATTAAATCGAAAACTTTATAACTTTTTCTAGAAAACAATGTTCGATCAGGTCAATTGAGAATACTTCACTCTTAGCTATCCAATATTCAATCATCATATTCTCAATTGAAAAATATTTTTGTATCTCGAGAGATTCCATTATGAATTAATATACTATCTAAAGAATAGAATACATAATAAAAAAAAAGTTCTGAATAGAATCACTCAATTTGATTAACTGCTTTGTCACTTTCATCATACTTGAACGGAAACAATTACGATCTCTCTCTATAAAATATCTCTGCTTCTTTGTTCTGAATTATAACTTACGAGTGAATATTTTTCAATTGATCAATCGTTTTGTTACCGACAACTAGTCGATCGTAAGCTATCGATTATGTTGGTTGCAAATATGACTATGAAACATCTTCTTACATATCTTGGTTTTTCTGACTAAAAAAAAGTTTTGCTAAAATTGTTTTTGATCTACTTAGATTATCAAGCATAACGAATCGTTCATAAATCAATCCACTTTTTGATTTTTCAAAAATCAGTTCTAAGTAAAATAATATTATCATGAAGATTTATAATATTAATACGTATCTGTTGTATGAATTATAATGAATGCATTGTCAAAAAAAACGATTTCAGATAGAAAATGTTACTATTTTCTACACTATTCAATATGGTTAATAATTAGAACACAGGATGAGAACGAGATTGATCAATTGAAAATATTCCGTCGTTAGAATTATGGTATAATTGTTTTAATGTCAAAAAGAGGCAATCATTTAATATCTCATCTCATGAATTCAGACATTTGGAACAAATGAAAGTCGATAAGTCATTTATAATGTTTTTTTTGTTTTCTTTTTTTTTTTTATAAAAATAGGACCGGTTTGTATATTTTCATAGATGTTATATAGCAAGGTAAGAGTGGAAGTTTATCATAGTGATATTATGATAATAGATGCCTATGAATTTTTTTGATAAAATTGTAACAAATAATTCAACAATGTTTATTTTATAATAAAACTATGTAATGTAAACCAACGAAAATACAAAACTAATAGTTTTAAAATAATTATTTTCTTTTAATATTTATTAATTGTGATTATTTTAGAACTTCGACAAAAATCAAACTAATAAATATCTTTTTTTTTTTCATAAATCTTTTTCAAGTTTTGAATTACTTCACATAACCTTGCGTATTGCATTGTTCTTCTTTCTTTTCTATTTATTATTTCATTTGATAAGTCCTTCAACTTATTCCAAGAAGAAGTTGTTCAGTATGAAAAAAGATTGGAATTAGAAAGGGAGAGCTACAAAAAATAATAACAAATAGTTGTCATAATGACTTTTTTCGAGTACATTTCTTATGCATAGATTCTAATTACTAATAGTTTTGGTTATCATCCTCGTATTTCCGTGATTAACTTGAAGGCTTTATATATTCTAATAGGATCTTGTAAACATCTTTAGATTCCGGAATTTTCCAGGTTCAATAAAAGCTATAAATAGTTGCTACTAATGAAAGTAACTTTTCATGTGTATAATTAATAATTCTAGTCGAAAAAGTAATAATACGTTTAAATTCCCTGAGGACATACGCAAAAAAGATCACAAAATCAGATATTTAAATTCGATAAAATAATTAAAAATTTTTGCATGTAAAACCAAATATAACAATTAGCAGATGAATCTGTAATTTATTTCAATTGATGAAAAATAACAATAACAAGAGTATGAATAAATTTTTTTTATTCCCTATTAGTATAATGTATTTCTGCTCTATTATTCAATAGTAAAAATGTTTTCAGGAAATCATCCTTTTTCATTTCAGCCTTGATTCTTATGCTATTCATTATTTTTTGAATAGAACTAATATTAAATTGTTTTAATTTCAATCATAATCATGTTCAACTGATCAGCAAGTATTAATAAAAATTGCTTAATATATTAAAGGTATTAGATTATTCAATCAGTCGTTCTAGTTTGTCACACTATTGATAGTCAATCAATGAATTCATTGCCTTGACTCTTTGTAGGAATGTTTGAATACTGAATTTTTACATGATATACATTTAGTTTCAACTTGAATTGGCATGTTAGTTTCGGTGAAACACTTATGAGAAAATATCCATTAACAGCAATATCTTCTCAAGAATACTTCGGGTCATATTCGACATACAAATTGAGTTCTACTATTTAATGTAACTTCTTGTTAGTAGCAAGTCTCTATTATTTATGAGTTGATTAAGGTAAAGAAAATAATTTTTTTTTTAAATTTCAGATGATAAGATAAATAAAATATTATTCTATGAGAGATGAACAAGTATTTTGTCAATATGAATAAAATGAATTATGTACATAACTTTTTACAAGAGCTTGTTGAATCCAGAATTTTCGAACTCGCGACCAACTCGACGAGCTCTACTTTTCACTAGCTGTTATCTATATTATAAAATATTTAAACAAAATCAACAAACTTTTGTTTTTGAAAATTTTTGATAGAATTTTCTTTGAAGATAGATTTCATTCCTATGAAAAATATATTCTTCTATTTTGTTATTCATATTTCATGAATTTGCGATAAATTTCAAATTATAATTAAATAATAATAATATACAATAGATAATTACAAATGTTTTATTATTTTTACTTTTGAATTTGACTGATAGTGACGTTTTCAATAAAAACTTTCAAAATATATTGAGAAGTTTGTATACATGAGGCCGTTTCTCTTGTAGATTATCGCATTCTATGACTCCCTAGCTGTCGTTGAGTCCCATTGCGTTTCACTCTACGAAAATGCTCAAAAATCTTCTTTTTTTTTTTTTATATTTAATTCATTCTTTTTGTTTATGAGTCGTGTATGTTTAGCATTCTCCTTTTATATTAATGAGATTCATTTTTGCACTAAATAAACGGAGTACAGTGTTACAATTTGTTTAAAATATTTGAACAACATAACAAGTTTGATACTGAAAGAAACAAATCAGACTTGTTGCTTTTGATAGTAATAAATAATTGTTTGTATACAATAGAAACTATCGTGACCTCAAAGGGTATGACTCACAAAATTAAAAATCATATCTATAGGACCACGATTGTCGTATGACCCATGTGGGTTCGTACGCTGAGACTTAGCACTTGAAATCAATCCATCATAATTGACCACAATCTAATGCACAAACAAAAGAATTGCAATTTGAGAAAGAAAGTTGTCCCACAGGATACATACGAAGACTGAGAGAAATTTAGAAAAATTATCAAGTGCATCGATGTAGAACTGGCAATAGCTATGAACGGTTGAATAATTATATATAAAACAATGAATTCTGATTAATTTGAACTGAAAATGCATATTTTTTTTCAGTTCAATTATTAATGAAGAAGTAGAGATGTCATTCAGTTGGTTGAGCTACTGCCACTGCTAGTAGAGTTTTTGAAATATCTTAGCTACTGTCATCGTTGCTGTCAAAAATCATTAAAAGTTTCAACCACTACTGTTAGAAAAAAAAGTGGATCGTAGAATTTGAAGAACTATCGACTGCTCAAATCATTTTTCTACATATAACAAATAATCGTAATTGTCGTGAAAGTTTTGTCTAAATTATGTTAAGAACCAAGTAAACAATTATTATAGAATAGAAGCAAAGAATTTTCTAGAATGTTAGGCATTGCTGAAAATAACTTTATTCATTCCATCATATATTCTTGTTCGTATGTTCTTGCATTCGACAGAAAGAGTCAACCATATCGGAGACAATAATATACCTAACTCATATTCTTTTATAATAATAAAATATGTAAGAAAATTCAATTTTTGTTTTTTTTTGTCTAGAATGAATTATTAATCAATCTACTATATTCAATATCTTAATTAGACTTGACTCCATTCTTTCTTTTCGATACAAAATATAGAACACATGATTTTGTTATCGCTTAAGTATATGTTCTTTCAGAATTTCAAGTACATTGTAACTAATATGTAGTTGAAGGAGGAGTATTTTTTTTTCAGCGTTATCATACACTTTCATTTTCAGTTACTATGACAGAGTGGCTTCGTTGTTCGACACGTACCACAAAGTATTGTGTTAGAGCTTTAATATCATCAACTATGGAATGATTCTGAACAAATTGTTTTCGGTTATTTATCTCGAATCACATATCTGATAGTATGCTGGCTACGTTGTGACTAGTATGTGTGAAGAGCTCAAGTGATTAAGCACGAAAACTATGGTTCAGACCAGCTTTCTCTGTAGAGCTACAGCTAACCATAGCTATCGGAAAGATATCGAGCTATTGAATCTGCCACTAGACAGTATTCTATATTACATTGTAGCTGAAAGACAGGAATATTCTTTCTCACCTCTGTACCCTTTAGCAAAACTGAAAAAAAAAGTACTTTTGCCTTCATGATGAAACACTTTCATAAAGAATATTCATGATTTTCTAGCAGAATAGTCTAAAAAAATTGAATTATGTTATTTCTTCAATGTATACAAAGATAATTTTTCTTTCACTATAATGACATAAAAAAATAAAATCTTTTTCTTTTTACTGTTTTTAATTTTAGAACAGATACGAATGACAACAAAGAAAAGGTGAAATAATATATACAACAGAAAACAAAATATATTGTTTTGTACTTTTTTTTTTTGGCTTTTTAATATTATATACTACAGAGTTACTGAACGAGTTGTTGGTAGCTGTCGACGTTGTGTTAACATACATTTTAGAAGTTCACGACGAAATTTCATTCCACAAAATGAATAAAGAAAAAAATTTATTGAATATGATGTATATGATATATGCTGTGTTATAATAGTCATAATATAAAATAATTTCATCCATTTTAAATGATTAATCGTATCATTTTGTTCTGATGTATCTTTAGTCGTATGACTAAAATCAATATTATTTGATAATGTTGATGATGTTTCATTATATTGTTTGAAATTATCATTTAAATTAGTAACTGTTTCATTTACATCATTGATAAATATTGTTTGTTTAAGTGTATAGATTTTTAAACCTATTGTGCATATATGTGCTGGTGCATTAAATAAAAGAAAACATGTTGACACGAGAATGAGCATACGTGTCACACGATATGATTGACTTTTAAAACATACAGTTGGTGAACGATGTAATAACTCTAGGGACCGAACGCGTCCATGCATTGTGGGTAAATCAGTATGTGACTGATTTTGTAGATTTGAACTCTGTTAACAAAAAATGAACTGTTTAATTGTAGTTCATAACAGATTAAAAATGATGTATCTTAAACTGGAACACTATGATTTCATGTTTATAATATTCGTCGTATGATTCGAAAATTTTGTGTTCATGTTGGAACACCACTTCTGAGGAAAGCTTCACAACTGATAAATTGCTTTTGAGTGAGGACAATATGTGTCATATAGACCTTAATGGTTTATGAGCATTCTAAAAAGAGTTTATGTACTTCGCTTATTCTTGCTGAGATATGACATGTTTGCTGTCTATTTTAAATGAAAGTCGTGATGCTTCTCAGGAATACCAGAAAAAAGCTAATTTTCAAGGTTCAATTTGAAATTTTATATACAGATAGATCTTAAACAGAATAGTTGATTGTAGAAGTTTCAGATCTTTTTGTCGCCTATAGCTGAAGATACGGCAATAGTAAATGTTTATTTTTTTTGTATCATTCATATACCTAGGCAGATATGATATTCTTATTTCAGGACAGGAGAAAATCAAAAAATCTAAAATTAATAACAAAACTGTTCTATTCAAGGCTTATCTTTGTATAACATTGGAAAATCAGTTTTTCCGTTATTATTGAGTTAGACCATAGTATTCTACTAAAAATAGCGTCAAAACAATACATCTCAGCAGTATTAAACTAACAGCATGAACTCTTTTCATTGTAGCCATAACTCAATGAGATCTACATGATGCACATGGTCTCAACTGAAAAATAATATATCACATAGAGAAACTCCCTCATCAGTGATAGATTCATATTGAAGATGTCTGAGACCATTCGCCCGACAAAATGTTTACTGTGTGACACGGACTTGCTGCGATTATTCTTTGTCCTATTCTTGAGACGATCAGCAACATTGATAACGAAATATGTATAATGTGTTTAAACAACTAAAGAAGAAGTCTATATAAAATTGAATTTCTACCGATCACTAGTTTATAAACTGTTTAAGAGATAACTGAACATCTCGGAAACTTACCAACTCAAAGAAAATATCGAGCCTATAAGTAGCGCCTATCGTGTTAATCTAGGGCCCAATTGAGTCTGAAAATGTTGGATCTGATAAACTTTAGTCGTCTGAGAAATGTACGGAAGGCGCTAGTCGCTGAATACAAAAAGCTGAAGAAAGGATGCCATGTCTTCGGAGCAATTATCCAATTCCGATTAGAAAAGTTCATGAAGAGTATCAAAGTACGGTTTAAAATTTTTGGATCGGAGGAGCTCTATTCATGGAAACTTTATCTAACAAAATTTTACATCCATTTATAGCAAGCGGAAAAGGCCAATTGGTTTTGTTGTCTTCGATTGACGATTACAAATGTCAAACATGACAATAGACGGGCAAACTAAGTTATATTCAATCTCTAATTATATAATTTCCGTTTCTTTGTAATATTCTTATGATCTTTTTTTTGAAGTGTTTTGCACTTTTATCTCTTCATCTGATAGATTCTATTGATATAATTTATGAGCTACGCTCGATCAATTACAGATACTTGGACAATTACTACGTTGGTGATTTTTTGCTTCTACTATGTAATAGGTCGCAAACATAATCGTCTATAATAAAAGGTACTAATAATTTAAGAGTGTCTACTCTTGAGTAAAATCTAGCCCGTAGGTTGTAAAAAATGCATTTTTTCACAGCATTCAAACATTTTCCTGTCTATTGAGTGTGAATAAATAAAGAAAAAGTTTTGTAGATCTTACACGCTTTAGCCAAATTTCTGCATATGACGCACGCTCATTTTATCTATTTCAATTATTCATTTTAATTCTAATCAACAATTAGATTGGAGTTACTTTGTTTTTTCTGAAAAAAACCTATTTTACATTACATATATATTTTATTAATCTATTTTCCAATCGATGATCAATAATTTATAAATAAAATCCATCGAGAAATACGCTTGAATATAAGATTTTTCTCATTAAATTCTGTGTACTTGACAGAAAAAGTTCAACTAGCACAAAAACTATATTCAATACCCTAGAGTTTGATATGTTAATATTGTCATAAATATTTGGTTGAAACTTTGTATTGACTGTTATTTCATATCTTGATGAAGATACTTTTAGAATATCTAATGGTATCATTTCGGATTGTTGTTGTCGTTTCGTAAAACGATATTGTTGATTATTTTGAAAACGTTTTTTTAAATAAAATATAATTAATATATTTAATATTATTATTATTGTAAATGGTATAAGAAATGATAATAATGCATCTGATATAAACCAATTTAACTCTAATTCTTCATGGCAATTATCATATGCATTAGTTTTAACTAAAAGTAAACAATAACTTATACCAAAAATAATAAATAATGTAACAATTAAATAATGTATAAGATGAATTCTTTTTTCAATAAATACACTTAAAGGAAATCGAACAGCTATAAAACGTTGAGCAGTAAATTGAGCTGTAAAACAAGCTGATAATAATTCAGCTAAATGAGAAAGAAATGATAATAAACGACAAAGTTGTTCATTATTTGATCGTGTTAAATCATTAATACATCGAGAAACAAGTGTAAAATTAAAAACAAGATCAGTAAGAGCTAAAGAAGAAAAATTCATATAAAATTATATATATATTAAAATAGATTTTTGTATTGGTTGGTTTATTTATTTACCAAGGGCAATCAATGTACAATTGTTAAAGTTTTTCGAAAGAGATTTTGTTGAAAGCATAACTATTGTAAGAAAATTTCCACAAATACCAATAACAGAAACAATGATGATATATGGAAAAGATATTTGTATAAGTTTATTCAAAAAACCATTACCCATGGCAATTTGTTCTACATAACTATCGTTCAACATTTTTATAATTTTTCGACACTTACTCAGAAAATAAAAACAATATGAAGGACTGACAAGAATAGATACTTAATATATGTAATCTAAAAATAAAACTTCATTATTATATGCAAACACAAAGATATATTTCGAATGAGATAAAATCGAATAAAAAAAGTATAAAAACAAACTTTATATATTTATATATCTACAAATAACGTGCTGTACTCAATATCTTTGCTTTTATCAGTCATCATTTCTAATGCAATGTTCAACAAGATCAGAAGGGAAATAGAAAGGACATGAGAGAGAAGAGAGATAATCCACAGAAAAAAAGATAGACAGGTTTTCTTATTGAAAAGAATAACTAAGAACTACTAAGAAAAATAAATGAATGTACTTATATTTATAAAACTAAATTCTAGTATCTATCTTAAACGAACTCTCTCAATAAGATATTAATATTATTTAAAACAATTCCTTATCTCACAGAAAAAGAAATGAGTTTATCTTTGCTTATTTATTATTATTTCATTGATTAACACCTACGGAGATAATTAGCCGAACAAAGCAGAAAAAAATAGAAAGCTTATTCATTTGGTAAGAAATAGAAAAACAATTCTTATTTATAAAAAGAGCTTCGTCTTTTTCTACTAGGAAAACAAATAATAATTACCATGAAAGAAAAAAATGTAGAACTGATGATTGAGTCACATTCAATTTATTTCAACTCATCACACAATTTTATTTTATAATTAAGTAAAAAACAGAGAAGAAACATCAACAACAACTTCATTCGAACATATTAAAAATAAGAAAAAGAAATTCTCTGAAGTTCTATCCAAGATGTTTTATAAACAAGTGAATAGCAAAATCTTATCATGTTTGTTTCTAATTTGACTGATTCCATTAATTATGAAAAGTCCTCATATCCACTAAGACTTCCTTTGCATCTTTTTAACAATAGTGTACTAGCCCTTCCTTATTCATAATGACAAGATATTAGTGAGAAAATTACTAACTTGCATTTTTTCATCAATAAAAACTCATATAACGTATGTGTAGTTCTTCAATACGTCAAACACTCCTATTTGCTTGTACCAAAAAAGGATTTTCACATAGGTTTTTTTCTATTCATGTCATGAATCTTAATTTGATTTAACTACATTTAAACTAATCATGCTAATCGAGAAAAGTACACAGTTGAGACATAAATATATAGTATTCTTCTGGAAAAAAATCAGACTTTGATTATTCTAATTATAACATTCAATATGTTTATTCATACAGAAATCCCTTATTCTCTCTTTGAAATGGTATGACATTTCAACGGAAAAATATACGAAAAAATTACATGTATAGTTGAATGAATCGAAATCAATCGAAGTTCCTTAAAGGAATAAAATCTTACTTTTAGTATTTTTATTTTCTATTTTTTCATTATTTGATTGAAATAACTACTTTATCATGATCATTAGATTTTTCTTTCATGTTTAGTCTTTCAAACAATATGATCTTTAAAAGTCTTATCTACAAAGACTTCATTCGAACTTTGCGTTAGCAACATATCTTGATCAGATCATGCTAATTGAAATTAACATGTGTTAACAGGAAAAAAAAAACATAATTGGTTGAATACACCTAGTAGTGACGTCACACAATCATGTAATGTTTGAAAACAAAAAACTAGGAAATGTTATTATTTGGTATAAAGTACACCAGTTTATAAAGAATAATCTATGAAACTTATAACAAGATATTAGAATATAAGAATTATCGAATAAAATAATGAAAAAGAACTATAATTGTTTTTATCGAATGTTTATTTATCTTATTTTTATCTTTATTTTTTTTTTTTTTTGAAACAAAAAAGAAAATGCGATGTACAAAAACAAATACGGTGATTGATGATAACTTCGTAATACTCACATAATTGAATTGCTGACTATACGATAATAAATGATAAAGGTGTACAATGAATTGTAGAGATATTATCCTTTATCAAATTCAAACACTGTACAAAACAAACAAAGTTTAGAATTATCTTTTCACATGTCTACAGAATGATCTAGAGAAGATAAATAATAATGATATCATAAAAAATGATTAACTTATTCTATAGCTCATATTCTATTGTTTTTTTTATTGTACTACTGGCAGTCTGACAAAAGGTGCAATCAGTAGATTGAATGGAAAATGTGATTATTCTAAGAATAGATTAACATGTCTCTCCTGATAGGAGTTTTGCACAATCAACAGCGTCGATAAAATACATTGAATCAGTCATTTCTAACTTGTCATAATGGAGTTAATATTTGTCACAGCATAGTTAAACTGCATGCTCATGTGCAATAAATCTTATTATTATAAGGGATACTGTTGATAGCATGCAAGAAATGAGCTATGCAGACAAAAAATTAAAGCGATCTGAATTTTTTTATGAACAATTTAACATCAAATCGACTAGCAGAAAATCTGTACTGTTTCCATATCTAGACAGTTCCATTTGATGTCATCAATATCTGAAAAAAATTCTCTGCATAAGTTTCTCTAATGAAAACAAAAAAGTAAATAAGTGAAATCGGTCGATCTGAAATCGGCGCCTAATCGATCTCATCTCTGATGCAGACACTTATAAAGTCCGAAATTAATCGTCATGATGCTTGATTTTTATGTAGACGATATGTAGAATTATATGACTTTTATATTAATTTTCTTAAGTTTGTAAATCATACGAAGAGGAAGAAGCTTTGTTTACCAACTTAAATGATTATTTACATTTGTATCATGAGTTCGAAAGAAACGGAACCGAACAAAAAAAAATTGTTGTATGAACTTAGTTAGTTCATCTCATCTCATTTCCCATTATCAGATAGGTTTCATGAGATAAATCATCCAATATAAAGATATTTTCAAGTCTTGAATTGATTTTTATCATTTTCCTATTCTATTATCTGAATTTTGCTTCTCCTGTTCCGGTTTAGATTCATTAATTTCAAAGATAGTTGATTATACGAATCATATGAATTCTATTTATTTCTTCAAAAAAGAAAATTGTAGACCTAGCCTATTAGCCATGTCATTAAAGTTGCGTAAACATTGGCGGTTTTATTGCGATTTATAAGATGGATTAATGATATAACTATATTGCGAATTAATCCACGGGTTTTTTAAAATTAACAAATAAATGGTTCTCGTCAATTATTCATAAAAGAATGTTCAAGACGTCTCTTAAAATCCGTTTCAAAAATTATGATAGGAATTTCTTGGGAATTTAAGGAGTTTTCTAAGGAATATAGTATAAGAATAATGACTATCGTAAACTTTCGTATATATCGTCGTCGTTTATTTTTGTAACTTCATTAGCTTTTCATAAACAAGAGAAAAAAAAAATTTATCTTTTTTCCTCCATTTATTCTTCAATTTATACTGATCGATGAAATTGAAGTTAATATTAGTCGAAATAAAGAAAACATAATATGTGTTATAAAATAATGTTTATATCTTATCATTATACTTGAAATTGATCTCAATGAAAATAATACAATTTCTTAAAAGAATATACTTACCGCCAAAATTATCGTAGATTAAAATAGTTTCTTCAATGAAATAAGATGGATTGTATGCAAGAGTTGGGAAAACGAAATGATTATATCTATTTTCGTAGTTGTTGAAAGTAATCAGGCAATAAATATTCAGTTCGAAGTTCCTATCAGATACTGTGCCATAGAAATACTGAGAATACTTTTTTAAGGCAAAAATCATCACAATTTAGTTTTTTTGTTTTTGCTTATATAAATAAAAAAATATACGAATCATTTTTATGCAAATGATTCGTACGTCGTTATTTTTCAAGTATCGCGATTAATCACTAATAGTTTTGCTCAGATCGTACATTGTCGTCAAAAAGGACCTGATTTTAATGACATGAAAAGTAAATTATGAAATTACTAGCAATACTCACAAAAACTTTCATTAGCTCTAAATATGATAGTCTTGCTGATACCTTCGACAATTAATCTGTAATAATGACTCAGTTTATTTGACATTCACAAAATTTTATTTCGATATATATAGGCGTGATTGATGACTCTAATACCTCCATACTTATTTGTGTGTTTAGCTTCAGTCAGGTATTAGAAAAATAAGATTTTTTTCACTACTTATAGTGCATATATAATGCTAATAATGTGTTGTTGTTTAAGCTCTATGTCTCAATAGGAACAAGAGTTATCAAGTGTTTCCTTATAATCATCTAGTTTAATGTGTTTCACATCTTACTTGTCAACATACACTAATTCTTACTAAAAACATTAAAACAACTTGAAATATCAACAAACAAAGTTTTATTATCAAATAGTTAATCCAGAAGTACAGCTAGTTTATCATACTTTATACTTACGAATAAGTTATTTCCTCAAGTTTATATCACATAAAGCAGAGACAATGTGTGCGATCTTAATAATGTTATAAAAATCATCAATAGCTCCTCTATAGACACTACTTAAAATAGTATAGGTTTTGAGACGTTGATTAATATTTTCAATAGTCACTCCTGCACTATTAATATCATGGTTGAAGTTGTTTGTCTTCATCTGTTAATTCACTCCTATGAGTTTTTTTCTTTTTTTTTGACTGCTGACATTGTCGAGTAAGAATTAGTGCGTGTTAACAAATTAGATGTGAAACACATTAAACTGAATGATTATAAGAAAACACTTGACAACTCTCGTTCCTATTGAGACATAGAACTCAAGAAATAACACATCATTAGCACTATATATGTACTATAACTAACTTAGTAAAAAAATCTCATTTTTCAAACATCTGATTAAAGCTACACGTACAAACAAGCATTAGGCTATCACAATGATTGATAGCGCCTATATATACGAAATTTAAAGTGCACATTGATATTTTTAATATATTTTTCTTTTCATCAAATGAAAATATATGCAGTGAAGGCCAATTGAAACTCACTCGTCTTCTCTCGCTTCGTTTTGTTTTTTAGAATGTTTTTGTAT